TTAGTGGGAAGGTATGCCAGGGGTGACAGGGCATGCTGCTGATGAGTGGCAGGAGAAGGTTTCTGAAAAGCTCACAGGGTGAAAGGGAAATGGTCAGAACAGATGTGAGTCAGCCAGAGAGCGTCCACCTTGGAACACAAGCAAGGGTTTAATACTTGGGTTTGTTGTTTTGTTTTGCTTTGGTTTTTGGTTTGTTAATTTTTTTCTTTTTTTTTAGTTTGTTTTTTTTTTTTTTTAAGTGCTCCTATCTTCTTCCAATGTATTTCTGAAAGCTGAAGATGAAGGCACAGGCAGCTGTCCTGTAGCTCAGTGGGAGGGTTGGGGAAATATGTTTTTCAGCAGCCTGAGTTTTCTAAGGCTTAATGTGGCTGAGACAATTGTCCTGCTGCATTTTCTGTAAAAATAGTAGCTTTCAAAAAAAAAAAAGGTAGAACAACTCACATTGTACAGAAATTCAAGTAAGAAGATTGTATTCATGAAGCACTGTTTGACTGTGTACTCGCAGATTTGAGTATATGATATGTAACACTTTTCCACAGAAATGTAAGCTGAAAATGGTGGAGAACTTGTGGAATAATCTCTAAGTCTCTAATCCAACCAGGTAGCAAGAGGCAGAGAGCAGCACAGGAAAATGTACAACAGCAATTGCACTTCTTTTTATTAAAACATAATGGAAAAAGCCACAAGCACCATGACAATGTTCAGTAATGTATGTAATGTAGTGAAGAAAGAGACAAGAGAGTATGGGCTTCCAAACATTTTTAGTACATGTTGATGAAACATGGTGATTGTTGTAATATTTTGGACAATACAGAATTATTATCTGTGTCCAGACATATTTCTGAAGCTAAAAAAACCCCTCTTTTTGAATTGCATTGACCCACAGAGCAACCATATCTGCTGACTCAGGAGAAGATTATAAAGAGCAAATGCCCTCAACTGCAGAGAGGGACAGAGCTTGTAGATCTCATCAAATTTCTGATGAAGCATTTGATTTTGCTATGATATCTTCAAGGAAGTCCCCTACCCTCCCATGCCAGATGGAGCAGCTCCAAAAAAGAAAGATTGTCAGCTGCCACCATTCCAGCTGTGTGATGGGGCTGTCACATAAGAAGAGAAGTGGATGAAATGAACAAAGCTATGTGAGGATTCAGGTGGCTTATCGAGGCCATAGGATGTGGCAGGAATTGCTCTTTGAATTTTATGATTGCCTTCGAGATAAAAAACCTTAAATTAAACTGGAAGGAGCAAGTGGAACCTCTTGGCATGGAGCACTGCATGTGTTGGAATGAAGGCTCCCAGGCAGCAGTTGTTACCACTGAAAATGAGAGGCAAACAGGTTGATGCAGAGCTAGACGTGAACAAAGTTTCTCTGAAACTCCTGAAGAAGTTATCTTTAAAAGAGAGTTTTCTCTCACACTTTGCAAAGTCTTGGCCCTCACTAGTAGTTTCCCTACCACTGAAGTCTTCCAAGCCTTGACACCTGAACAGCAAGTCCATGATGCTGCGGATAAAATTTGGGCTGCGAGGAGCATTTATGAAAGCAGAGATCAATCAGCCTGATGAAATGGAAAGAGAAGCTGAGAAAATAGCAGAGCTGAGCCAGATCTTTGTTTACAGTTATCAACTCGGAACAAATGGTTTAGAAGATTTTCATATTCAAAGCTGGGTAGTGCCACCAAAATGCAGGAAGTGGTCACAGTGCCCTGAGACGTGGTGCCACCTCCTGAATGAGACCTCACCATTAAGTTAGAACTGGAAAAAGAAAACAAAGATTCTAATGCAGAGAACAATCTGTTAGAAATAATAATGTGCCTACAGTGGTGATGAGCCTGTGCATCTCCAAAGAGCCCAAGTCCCTACCTGTCTCCAGTCCCAGTGAAGCAGTGGTTGATTTTTACAGGGAAATGAGCAGCAGGCAGTTGAGCTGCTGTGTGCTGTCAAAAGGCACAGGGACTCAGTACTGTCTCAAGCATGCATTCACATAAACGTGGTGGAGGAAGGAGGGCAGAGAGGCTTCTCGTGGTAGGAAACTGCCAAGGAAGCCAAGGACTTGAAACAGCCCTTGTTCTGCAGAACCTTGTCCCTGTACACAGAGCCTGGTCACAGCTGAAACAGCTACATGGGTGCAACTTGAAAGTTAATTCAGCTCTGGGAGCCCATCAGCCCTTTCCGAGCCTGCTGTGCTAAGTGGCTGCTTGTTCCCTAGCTGACACACAGACAAGTGCATGATTCCAAGCACGAGGTTGCAAAGCCGAGCGTGTTAGGCTGGTCTCCCGAACAGAGCTCACGCAGCGTGCAATACGCATCGCAGCACCAACAAGTCCGACGCATCAGTTATATCCACGCCCTCCGAAATCCTCCGGGGAGTCCTTAACTCAGCATGGCCCTGGGCATCCCGCGCGGTGTTGCCTGCGCTGCCCGCGTCCTACCACGGCGGGGAGCTGGGACAGCGGGAACGGGACAGGGGAAAGGCAAGGGAAAAGGTCAGAGCACCTCCGCTCGGCGTGAGAGAAGAAAAAACGAAGGAGGAGGAGGTGGAGGAGGAAAGTGCTGCGGCACCGCGGTAGAGATGAGGGACAGTGGGATGCGGTGTAGCTGCCTGCCGGAAAAGGGTGCACGGAGGAGAAGGAGGAGGAGGAGGAGGAAGGGCTCAAACTTATGAATTTGTGCCTCTAGGGGGATTTCTCTTTTTCTTTTTATTGGCATTTTTGCTACCTAGTGGTTGAGGCCCAGCCCCAGCATTGCCTTTAGTCAGGCAGTTCTCAGCTCTTAGCAGCCTGGAAGTGCAGCCTCATCTCTGTTACAAATCCCATGAAACCTGTGGAAAATCAAAGGCATGTTCTTGATAGGGAACAGCCACTTGAATACTGCCACAGGTGGAATTCTACCCAAGAATTAATTTGCTGCCTCAGGGGGGATGCTCCTCAGGCTTCATGGCCTGTCATGTGTACCTCCCTTTCCAAAATGTTGGAGGTGTATGGATTAATAAAGACTCATAAACAGAAAACACCACCAGCAGGTAAACAGAATTTATTTCTCCAGCACCCTCCTCTGGCTGTTGGATAACTCTGGAAGACAAATACCAGGCAAGGTAGGTCCTTACCTCTTGTCACAATCTAGCAGAGGGTGGGGACAATGGAAATGCAAGCATACTTCATATTTCCCTCCAAGCAACTATCATGTACTAGCAAAAAGCCTACTCCTATAGCCAGCTAATAAATTAACTCCATTGCCACAAGGCAGCACATTAAAGCCTTATGAAAAACAAGTTTCTCTTGTGTTGTCTAACAGAGCAATGCCTGGACATGCTCTTGGTCAGTAATTACAATCAGAGGCATCAGTGGGGAAAAGCTGGGGCTTGCAGTCATGAAACAAAAATGTTGGATGATGCCCTGAGAGTGCTGAGTCCTGTAGAGGACCACAAACATGGTGGAAAGCATGGGCTAGTCTGCAGACAACATTTTAAAAGGGTAGCTTTGTTACACAAAAATTTACACTGGGCAGAATAATTCTGTTAACCCCCACTCAACTTTATGGCACATTGTGGTGCTGTCTGTCCACACCATTCCAACCAGATGACTGCTGTTCCTTTGATGCCAGGATAAAAAAAAAGGTCCCTTTCTGTGTATCTCAACTAGTTGTGTGCTTGTGCCTGGTCTGCATTTAATGGGTCAGCTGAGCAGTCTGGTAGTGCCAGCAGCTGGTGATGACAATGCACTTCCTTCAAGGCAGTTTTTGGTAGTCCTCTTGTTTTTTACTTGCCTTCTGCATCTGGGATGAGGAAAGGTGAAGAGGAAGCCAGCTGCTCCTCTAGCCCTGCTGGGTGAATACTGGCAGAACCGAGGAACTGACAAGGGGCCTTGCAGATTCCCCATGTGCAGCACAGCAGTGGAGAAAGGAAACTCACTGAGTTGCTGCCGGTGGCCTGCCCAAGAGCTATGGATGAGGTAGGCTGCAAGGCCACAGAAGCAGAAATAAGTTGATAGGACACTACAAGAACGTTACTTGTAGCAGCGATGTGACTTTGAACCACACTTAAATGACAACTTTTTCATTACAGGAAGCTGAATATAATTTGATAAGGTTACAGCTGACAGTTATCAATCCCCTGTGAGGAGCTTAGATAAGGCAAATCTGAATCACATAGCTTATGACTGTACCAAAATCTGGGCCGCTGCAAGAACTGAGCCCAATGTTGCTGAATAAAACCCAGACTTCCCATATAAAAGTCAACAAGCAATTAAATAGCCAGTAAGAATAAATCAAAGCAGGAAGAGTTTTGGGCCGGGGGCAAACTAATAGAATTCTGGACCCCTCTTCCTTAAACTCGAGAAGTTCAGGGGTAACTGCTCTTTTGAAAGGGATTGCAAAGGGACTTTCATTTGAAAAGAAAAAAGAGAAGATCCTGATATCCTTTGGCACAGGAATGGCAGGGGAACAGGAAAAGAGGAACGTGCATCGCTTTTGATTATCAGTGATTTCTGGCTGTTTCTGAAAGAAGCCCTGTCCACAGTGTCACTGTGGAGGGCTGACACTTACAAAGGAACTGGCTAAATAACCAAAGGCCCCATCACTCTCACTGCTAAACACAAGACCCCGGGGCAACATACTCTATTAAGCTGTGCCAATGATTAGTACTGTGCAAGCACTTCTGTGCTGTTGTCTGTGATGTTTTGTGTAAGGGTGATGAGATATAAATTTAGAAATCACCGTTGTCTACCCACCTATATCTAACTGGCATTTTTTCCCCCCCAAATCCATTTTATGGCTGTAAAATGGCAAGTGTAGTATGAAAAATGAATAAGCTAAGTTATGTCTGTAGGGAATCTGCCTCTATTATTAGACCAACTGATACAGCTGGAGCAAACAGGAAATCTTTGAGGCATGTGATTTATCTTTGGGTTTGATCTGCAGCCTGGTTTTTTGTTTTGTTTTTTTTTTTTCCCCAGCTGTAATTAGCAGTATAGTGAAAGACATTTCTCCTCAAAAGACTTGCTTCTCTTATACTCTTAGACCGCAGTGGCTCTAGCCACCTAAATACTGCCACAAACAGATCAGTCAGAGTTTAGGACCCAGAGCCCTGTTTTAGACTTAGGGGATGTGACAGCTGACTGAAAATCAATGGAGTGTGATCTACCGAGCATCACAACGAGGGCAAGATAAGGCTAGAAAGGTGCTGCCTTGCCTTGCAGACTCAGCTGTCCGCCTTGGTTTTCAACTAGATTGTTTTAGTCCCCTACTAAGATGAGACCGATTTGCTTCCGAAAACAGAAGATCAGATTTGAAGGAGAAGCCACTACGGTGCCCATGCTGTCCCTGGTGCTCTTTGCTCTGTGTCTGAGCCACTCAGGTAGGTGTGATTTCTTCTTCTTACGAGCTGAGCTGCAGGTGGTCAAGATCTTTTTTTATACTGGGCTCTTAGCTTTGCTGCTTTCTGGGTTAAGATGAATACTGGCTTCCCTTGGTCCTCCTCTAAACATTGTTTGACTAGCAAAAGAGGGTTATATCAGCTGCTGCCTTTGTGTTGCAACCACAGGCAGTTTCACAACAAGGTTTTAATAACTGGTGGCAGGGCGGTTGTGGGGTAGAAAGTAACAGAAAAAAATCCTAAGCTTGACTCTCACTGCTAAAGGAAATCACAGGAGAATCTCCATCACCAAGAGGGGAAACTGAAATGCCTCAGGCAAACTGATGAAAGGCTAATTGTCCTGTCTGTGTTTCTTGGGGTGTTTAGCGCATTTGTTTAGAAGGCTTCCTGCCTCAACACTCCTGTTCCTGCACCGGTGCAGAACTGCTACTTGCACGGACCACAGAGAGAAACAAAAACCTGGGGAAGAGTGGGGATGGCAAACAGCGCTCGGGTACTTGCATACATGGTAACCTGCCGAGGAGCTCCCCAGCTTTTGCCTCCTCTGTGCACCAGTCACGGATGTATCTGTCCTGTGGCTGTTTCTCTGTCTTTTTCAGTGTTTTCTCCGTGTCATTAGCTGGCTTCTTCATCAGATGGGTCTTGATCAAAGAAACTGTTAGGCTATTTTCACACTTGACATGTCTTACTTCCCATTAATAGCTTCTGCTTTTAAACTGTATTTATACAAGTACTGAGGCTGCCTTACAAAGGCAGCAACCTTCTTCTTTCTGACTTAATTCTTTGTGAGACATCTCTTTTTCACTCTTTTGTGGCTTCCCCAGCAGATGAGAATCAACATGTCCATCCCCCAAAACAGCTTTGTCACCTCTCTGCTATACCCTCTTGGAGCATTAGGGTCCCTGAACTTTGTGTGAGGTGTGGGCTGTGAAATGGCACCATTTTCCTATGAGGGATGTTGTACACATCCACCGACACACAGGGTGTGTGGCTGCATGTATGTGCGCGGGAAGTCATATCCAAATAAACCCAGAGCAATGTATTCTAGCGTTAAGACAAAGCTGATTTTGATCCTGCATCTTTAGGTGTTATGGATTTTTCTATTCAATGGCTTTTCCATTAAATTGCCTGTTTTTAACAACCATATATTCCTATGAAGCTCCTAAAGGGAAGGTGAAAAGTTTAGGAGACGGAGTCTCTGCAGAGACTCTTATGTGTCAGGGGATTGGATCACTGAGGTTGTGGGTAGTGAGGAGGAAGAAATGTGTTCTTTCTCCTCCTTTGGTTGTGGATGCAATGCCTGTCTGGCATGTTTGGGCAGCCAATCTAGTTTCCTAGGATAGACCCCACACTCTGTCCTTAATTTGCTGTGATAGAGCTAGAAAAATCTGTGGCGTGAAAAGAGGCCCTGGAACAAGCAGAAGGGACATTTGTGGTTCCCAGCTGGAAACAGAAGACCTTAAGGGCTTGTGACAAAGAGGCAAGGAAGGGGTGGCCACAAGAGCTGCTATAACCTGTATTGTCACCTGCATGAGCCATTCCTGGCTGTGGGACAAAGCAGGTGGAAATGAGCTTGAAAGCTCCCTCTGACCAGCCAGCCTCTATCCCCCACAAGGGATTAGTAACCCCACCACAGCTGCACTCCAAGCACAGGGGACAAACATACCTTGTCCTAGAACATCTGACAGGAAAGTTAATTGTCACCCTGTGTGAGTGGCAATCATTAGATTTCAGTGTTTATAACTCCTCAAAGAGGAACAGTCATTTGCTGTGTCTGGAAGCGGGGGACAACAGCGTTGCTTGGACCTTGTGCTATCTTAAGAGAACCCAGATTGCATGAGGGAATGATTTTGTCCCGTGGAAAGCTCTGGCATGAGAGCAGGTTTTCGCTTTAGGCAGTTCTTCATCTGTGCTGCTTGCTGCCAGGTCTTGCCCTGCCCACAGCCTCAGACAGACCCCGCTGAGGTAGAGGAGGCTGCACAGCCTGTCTTGCCCAGGAGATGTGCAGCAGCTGCTGGGGAAGAGGAAATGGACAGAGACAGTGGTATGTGGTTATATACTTTCTTCCATGTATGTGACAGAGCACTACCCTCTGCCTCCAGTTTTCTCTCTGGAGGAGCTGCTGCGCTCAGATGCCCTGTCCTCTCTCCCTGTGGCATAGGGACCCTTCTGGGGGCTGTCTCGACTCTCATGTTTGCTGCACAGTGTGTGTGAGCCCATTAACTGTGCCCTCCCACCAGGGCTCTCCCACAGTCCTGTCCTTGCACTGTCCCTCGGCCGTGATCCTCTGCCTGCAGACCCTTCCTAATTGCACCTAATGGCTGGCAATCCAGGCACAGGGGGCTCACCCCGGAGCTGGCACAGCATGAGCTGGGCCCCAGGCAGCACCCTGTAGAATCTCCTTTGACTGCTGACACAGCAATACTGGCTGTCACCCCAGCAGTATGAGGTCAGTCGGCAGGAGCTCCTTTTTCCTTCATGGTGGCTTTGAAGAGAGGTAAAATCCTTCTCATCCTTGTGTGCTGTGTGTACTCACAAGGGAAGGGGTGGAGGTCATGTCAGGACCTTGGCATCACAGGGAGTGGGGGTGAAATTTTGGGAAGGCTGGAGGGTCTGAACTGCCCTTCCCCTTTCACAGTAACAAGGGGGAGAGCATGGTGTCAGAGATCGTGGGAGTCCCAAGTCTTGCAGGTACAACGTATGATGCCTCTGTGCTTGCCTTGCTTACCAGGGCAGACCTGGCCCTGGTTGCATCATCCAGCTCCTGCTGTTGCCAGATGAGCTCCTTTTGGTTTTTGATGTTGCCTACCTGCCCCACCTGTCCACTGGGACAATTCAGCTTTCTGGATGATTTGCTGCTATCCCCTAGTTAACTCCAGAAGGAGGATTTACTTTCAAGTCCTGCATGAGGCTCCCTCAGGCTTGTCTCACAGCGAGGAAATTCCACCACCCCAATCCTTGTGCAGAACAGCCTCCATCTCAGAGAGGCCACAGAAACTGGCCAAGTGCAAGTGAAATCCCTGGACCCTGAATTGCCCACAGTGAATTGCTGCCACAGCTAGCCAACTGGGGTTTGCCCCACAGTGACCAGGTCTCCCCTGTGGCCCCAGCTCTCTGTGGTACAGCATAGATATCTGAAATATCAGAACTCTTTCTCCAGGTGTTTTTTTTATCAGGCTGGATATTTGCTACTCAAGAGTGAAAGAGGGAACCTGATGTTCTGAACCTGTCAGTCTTCTAAAGAGTAATAAACAAGAAAGACTGGGCAAGTGTGTTGTCCCAAGACAAAAAGGTCACAGAAAATATAAACCTAGTACAGTCAGTGCTCTGGACTGAAGGGTTTTTCTGTGTGTGTATCTTGTCTTTCCATCCTCTTGTTCTGTTTCTGCTGAGAGTCTATGCATTTGAATTCCTACAGATTTTACTGTACAAGACAAGAACTGCCCAGAGGCGAATTTGTCTCACATCATCGCTCTGCCTCACTCCTTCATGTCGTGGCTTTCTCCATGTCTGCTTTCTGGCATGTCCCCACTCTGTGTTGTTCTCTTCCAGACGTGGATGCCTTCAGCTCAATCGCTGAAAACGAGGATGCGCTCCTCAGGCACTTATTTGAAGGCTATCAGAAATGGATCCGTCCTGTGGAAAACTCCAATGACACCATCAAAGTCTTCTTTGGATTAAAGATATCGCAGCTTGTGGATGTGGTAAGTGTTGCATCAGGCTTGGTAAAACACTCCTTCTTTTATAGAGAGGCATGTATCCACCTGGGAGGGCCGATGATGCTGTTGGCTTTTGCCTGCTCATGCACGAAATGCACAGTGATGGTTGGGCAGCGAAAGGCCGAGCGTGATACGGTGTTGTGGCCTCTTGCCCCACATACAGCATGGGCTGTAGGACTCATTTGTTTTGAAGGAAACCTGAAGGTCCTTTTCCCCCTCCTGTTCTCAGGAAATAAGACCTAATGTCCATCAGGTTTTTATCAAACAACCCATACCAGACAGTCCCTGGTGTCTGTATTTGCAGTTTAATGACAAGGCAACTACAGGATGGGTGACAAAGGGTAGAACTGGTTGGATATTATTCATTCTAAGCAAGTTTGTCTCCAGGCCAATGGCAGTTCATGTCTTAACCCAGCTGGTTACTCAGATAAAACTCTAGAGGCAAAACAGTCAATCCCATGTTTCTGCCCATGTGGAAATTTTCCCTTCCCTTTCCACTGCAATGCACAGCAGAATTTCCACAAGGCCCAGAGGTACCCACACAACAGTGTGCTCCTTACATCCCTCAGCCCCTGGCAGTGTCCTCTTGTACTGTGGAAGGCAAACTCTAATTTTGTACTTTATTTACATATTCAGGACAATGTTTCAGCTTGTATCTTCCCAAACTCCCTCTAGGCTGAGCAGTGCGGGGAGTTGAGCCACCCTGTGAGCCCACAGCCATGTGTGTGTGACCTGACACCACTGGCTGGCTGAGTCCTGCTGCCTCCCTGGTCTTTGGCATGCGATGCCTTCGAGCTCCTGTGAAATGCCAGACCTCCATTTTCCGGCTGCAGGAGCTCCCAGTGAGAGCAGGGACAGCACCCAGGAAGTCAGTTCATTTCCCCCAACAGTGACTGAAGAGCCCAGGCTCATGGGGAAACAGGACCACAGGGATCTCCTCATCTCAGCGGGATCTCATATCCTGGACTCACTAGACTAGGTCTGCTTCTACTGTCTGTTTTTATATTGCAATCCTCTCTACCTTGTGTCACCCTAGGATGAGAAGAATCAGCTGATGACAACCAATGTGTGGCTGAAACAGGTAAGTTAAACCACATCAGATCTCCCCTTTCCCCATGTGGGGCTACTGACCTGAGTGGCCATCCCAGACTGCTGCCCACTGTGTCATCCATCCCATTTCATGGTGCTGAGTGGCCAGACAAAGGTTGCATCATGTTACCTTGCCTGAAATTTTTACTTTGGTCTTCTCGCTCTAGAAAATGCGTAAAGAGACAGAAAAGCAGGCAGGTGGGCCTTTAGGACATAGGGTACCCTCTTTTCCTGAGCTGCACTCCAGCTCTGTGTTCAAGCCAGCTGTATTTCAGGGAAGCAACACACCTGATACTGCAGTGGCTATCCCTGGGATGTTGAATGTGCCCTGAGGGACTATCCTGTCTCAGACTTAGAGGTCACACAAGTACTGTCTCCCTTGCCTGAGGTAAGAATGGTGCCTCAGATAGCTTTCTTCTTCATTCTTCGGTATATGTAAAGAGAAAGAAAAGGCCAGCATGTCACACACACCCCCATACACCCTTCTCTAATAAAAGCTGTAGCAAATTAATCATATCTCTCTAACATAATTGGTTCTGGAAGTGACAATGATTTATACAAATGCAGGAACAGTGCAAGTTGAACTGCTAGGTCTCCTTTTGCCTTCAGTCCTGAAGAACACTGCTGTTGGTTTAGGTTACATTGTACCAGCTTATTGACCTTGTGACAATTATTTTAAGTCTCTCAGCCATGTGAGTATCTACAAACATGTCAGCTGATCCCAGGACGAGGACATAAAAAACGAGCTGCACTTGAAATCATGCCATGGAAAAAGGTCCCTGGGGGTCCCTGGGCTGGTGGGGGAGAAATGTGGCTCAGATTTTGTCTCAGTCTGGGTCCTGTAGTGCTGCAGTGAGTGTGAGCTTCTGGGTGGAGCAAGACCCCTAAAAACTATATGGACATTGTGTGCAAAGATGCTCTCCCTTGAAGAGGGAAAAGCTTAGGCTTCCCCTCACTACACAAAAGACAGGAATTTCTCCTTTTGCTGGAGGAGTTTGCCTCTGATCCAAATCCAGATGCTGAGAGCCTGCCCTAAAATATCTGTGGTATTACATTTTCCCCACCTTCAGCTGCAGTTGCAGAGCCCCTTTCGTGCACAGGGACAGGTCTTGACTTCTTTACTTTGAGTATCCACTTGGGGCAGACAGCAGAGCCCTTTTATAGAGACCCCTGTACCCTCATCTGTCCTGTCCCCCTTCCCATCCATTCTCCTCACAGGCTACAACACCCACCTTCCCCTGCAGACCCAAGCCCTGCAGCCTGCAGCTGTGAAATCAACCCACTTCACCCTCCTCATTCTCTCTGTTCCTACAAGTATCCCTTGAAAGATTTTACAGCCTTTTGCAGCTTTTGATAGAATATTCCTGGGTTTGGTTTTCTCCTTCTTCTTAGGGAAGAGCTGGCTGCTTGCTCAGTCTAGGACAGCAGTCTCATGTACTCCGGGGCAGCCTCATCCCTCTGGCTGGGTGATGTCTTCACCTGCATGACAGTGGCTGCAGAGGAGGGGGACCTTGACTCCCACCAGGAGGCCAAATGCAAGTCCAGACTGTCCAAGGGTATTAGGTCTGAGAAGCTAATACAGATAGGCACCTGCCAACTCTCTCTCCATTGCTGCTTAAACCTGCGTGGGAACATTTTGGGTTAACCCTCCCATGCTGAGCACTCTGCTTGTATTGCAGCGGTGACCTCCCAGAGTCACAACCTGGAGCTTGGGTCACCTCTCTTACTGTGGCAAGTCAGGTTCTGCTGGAGGTTACTCCAAACATGCTGCAGACGTTAGTGATGTGCCACCATCCATTCAATGTCTCTTGGGTGTGGAAGAGAACCAGGGCACTTTGTGTGATCCTTTTGCCTATGCTAAAAGAAGGATGTACCCAGAAGTGTGCACTGTAGACATGCTGACTTCTCTGGAGGCCTTTGGAGGCTGTGCTCAGATTTTAGCCAGGGCAGCTCCCCAGGGTAACTCAGCCCTGTGATTTTCCAGAGTTGCTGAGCTGGGCTCTCAGGAGTTGGTGCTGTTTATAATACCCCTTCTTAGTCTGGTGGGCTGAGAGCATCAAGACCCAAATGAAATGCAAAGGGAGCAGAAAATGAGGCACAGATTCTGATTTTCACACATTCAGGTATTCCCAGAATGTCAGGCTGTGCACTAAACACCTGTAGCCTGACGCAGGTGTCCTGCTCTGGGAATTGTGCATTTGTATAGGCTTAGTTTGAACTTGTCCACATGCAATCCACTGCTTGGGAAATTATTAGAGTGTATAAGCACAACATCTAGGAAAAAAGTACATAAAACCAAACAGAATTAATTTGTTTTTTCATTTGGGTTGGGAAAAGTGAAAAACACTAAAACAAACCAGAACTCTCTAATGACAGAGGGACATTAGACATTCTCCTTCTGCAGCTGCTGGGTAGGTGAGGGAAGTCTGTCCTTCACCCTGGGTGTTTGAGGTTGAGGGGGAATCACAGTCACAGAATCACAGAATGGGTATTTTTGAAAGGGACCACTGTAGGTCATCTGCTCCAATCTCCCTGCTTAAGCCCTGTCATTTTAGAGTACATTGCACAGGATCACATCCAGATGGTTCTTGAATGTCTCTAGTGAGGGAGACTCCACAACCTGACAAGAGCCTGTATCCATCCTCTTGACACCCTCCCTTCAGATACTTACGTAATTGATGAGGTTCCCCCTCAGTTGTCTCTTCTCGAGGCTGAACAGGCCCAACACCCTCAGCTTTCCTCATAGGAGAGATGCTCCAGTCCATTGATCATCTTTTTTGCCCTCTTCTGGACTCAGTTCAAGAGCTCCATCTCTCTCTTGTCCTGAGGAGCCCAGAGCTGGACACAGAACTCTGGATGTGCCTCACTAGGGTAGAGTTCAGGGGCAGGATCACCTCCTTCGACCTGCTGGCCATGCTCTTCCTAATGTATCCCAGGATCCCACTGACCTTCTTGGCCACACAGGCACACTGTTGGCTCATGGACAGCTTGTTGTCCACCAGGACCCCCAGGTCCTTCTCCACAGAGCTGCTTTCCAGCAGGATGGCTCCCAACCTTTACTCGTGCCTGGGGTAATTCCTCCCCAGGTGCAGGACCCTGCATTTGCCTTTGTTGAATTTCAGAAGGTTCTTCTCTGCCCAACTCTCCAACCTGTCCAGGTCCTTCTGAAGGGCTGCAGAGCCCTCTGAAGTACTGGCCACTCCTCCCAGCTTTGTGTCATCAGTGATTTTGCTGAGGAGGCGTCTGCCCCTTTGTCCAAGTCATTGATGGATAAGTTAAACAATTCTGGGCCCAGTATTGAACCTTGGGGGACACCACTAGTGACAGGCCTTCGATTAGACCCTCTGCCACTGATTATGACACTCTGGGATCTGCATTCAGCCAGTTCTGAATCCCCCTCACTGTCCTCTCATCCAGTTCATGCTTCTAGAGTTTGCCTACGAGGATGTCGTGAGAAACAGTCAAAAGCCTTGCTGAAGTCAAGGTAGACAATACTCACTCCTTTCCCCTTATCCATCCAGGTAGTTGTTTCATCATAGAAGGCAATATGGTTAGTCAAACATGATTTACTTTTAGTGAATCCATGCTGACTGCTCTTGATTACCTTCATCATTTCTCTGACTTTTCTTAGGTGGGCAAAAACTTAAATCCAAGGATTTTAATTTTTTTTTAAACTAAAATATCCTTATGCTCAAGATGGTGGGACTTGATGAGCATGCAGGCAGAAACACACAAGGTGCAGAGAAGCTTTTAGTGGTTGCTAAGAAAGTATCTGGACTCAGGCAAGCTATGGAGTAAACTAAGGGTCGAGAATCTGGATCCTGTGTTTCTTGGTCCACTTGCTATGGGTTAAGCTCTTGAGTGACAGCACAGAGATAGGAATTTGACAGAACTGGAGAAAAGAAAGAGCAATTAGAAGGTCTGGAGCTGCTTGGAAGAAAGGGAGAAGAGAGGAAGGGGCCTGCTGCTACAGTTCGTATCAGCGTAGCCCACAGGGAGATTCCTATTTTTTCTAAACTGCTCAACTTCAAAATCTGCACACATCCTATTTTCTGCTCTAGTAAAAAGGCATACAACCATTTGCCTTGCAGACATGAAAGAGCACTTTAGCTGGGAGAGAAATCAATGCAGGGCGGGGAGAAGCGAGGAGTGTTGCAGATGCAGCAAATAACCCAGGCCAAGGGCCTGCTCCAGTTCAACTCCAGAGGGATGATTATATCTCCAGGTGGGTCACAGGACATTTGCTGCTCTTGTATTAATGCAGGCTACAAGCTGACTGTGTTGGCTGCTGCTATCAGCCCTGACTATGATATATGTTTCCAGCCTAAGCCTTGTTGCACCTATTACAGGAAGTGTCCAGGACATCTGTGAGACTGTGACCGCTTAACAGCCCAGGTTGCTGTAAACATCTGTTAGATACCCAACCTCAGAAAGTTCACATGAAACGTGATGTTTTCTGTTCCTGATGGTGAGGCTGAGAGCAGCAACGACCCCTCTCTCCACGCCTGAACAGCTCCCATCCCTTCTTCAGGAGCAAGGGGTGGAAAGCCATGCCTGACACCTGATACCAGCCATCTGGGCAGTTCAGAGAATAGGTGCATATCTCTTCTGGTGCAGGTAGTGGGGCCATTGACTCTGCCACGGTGTCACCCTGAGCAACTGCCTCCTTTGCTTGTGCTTTGTGCCAGATTTTGGGAGGGGCCTACCAACCACCTACCCTTGACCTTGGGCCCTATCCCTTCCCTACCCCTGGACGAGCAGGATGTTCACTCTCCCTGTCCCTGTTTAGGTCTCTGCTGAGGCTCCGGGTTGCTGTCACACTGCAAAGGGTTGCAATAACAAGTGTCTGTAGGTATAGCTGTGAAACACATGTGGAATCAAAGAAGTAACAGAGGAACAATACAGTGGAAGAGGAATCAGAGAATACAGCTTTTTTGTTCTTCCTTAAGTCGTGGAGGAAATCGTCCAGGGAAGACTGAGGCCCCCACATCCCTGGAGATTCCTTAGTGCTGGAACCTAATGGAAACTGGTTCATCTTCTGCTTCTTGGTTTTGACCACAGTCTACATGTCTTGTGTCATATCGCTGCTGTTTCTGTGGGCAAGTGAAAATCCTCATCTATAATGAACAGAGATCAGAGAGCTGATTTTCCACTGCATTTCTGTGGTAATCTCCAGATTGCTGGAGCCACTTTTTTATTATCTCTCCATCTGAAAAAGCTGCAATAGTGTACAGATCTTTCTGATGAAAGAAAATGATTTTTTTGCAAGGACAATGAACACAGATATTAGGTCCTGTGTTCCGTTCACGGAAAAAAGCCATGTCTCCACTGAAAAGTGAATAAAGGCCACCTCTTTTACACTTAAGTAGTAGTAACCATGCCACTTGGCTCTTCTGTGGGGTCCGTGCCAGCCAAAACCACCATGGGCTGGTCCACAGAGGGAAGCAGGGGTGCCGTACTAAAGGAAAGTGGCTCCTTCCTTTTGACTACCCTCAGGTGGGCTGTGCAGGATGGTAGGAGAAGTGAGAGTCAAGTGGTCTCCAGGAGTGCCTACCTTGAGGCTGCCTGCATCAGGATGGGTTTTTGGGTCCCAACTGTGTATGGAGGGGCAGTGCTTGTGGGAATTAACATCCCCCAGCCATGCCCATCTGGCATCCCCTCTGCATCTGAGCAGCCTTACACCAAGCTCTACCCATTATGCTGTACAGGGGCAGGGGCACAGCAGGGGCCCTGCAGCACTGGGGGAAGGCAGGAGCTGGGGGAAGGAATGAGGCTGCTGCATACGAGTGGGCAGAGGACTCTGTTGCTTTGTTACAGGAATGGATGGACCACAAGCTCTCCTGGAATCCAGAGGAATACGGTGGGATCACTGCTATCCGTGTCCCCTCTGAGTCTCTGTGGCTTCCTGACATTGTTTTGTTTGAAAAGTGAGTAACATGGCTCTTTACTCAGAGCTAAGGCCAGAGCTCGGGCAAGACATGTCAACTGTCATGAAGCTTGGGTGTGCTGACACAAGGTTGCTTCTTTAGTCAGCATGAATGTTGGCATCCCTTGTGCTCCGGGTAAGGGATAAAAAGCAGAGCTGAGAGGTGGTAAGACCGGGACAAACGTAATCCTGAACTTGGTACTGTTTCTTCCTATCCAACTCCCAGTGCTGATGGACGTTTTGAAGGATCCCTGATGACCAAAGCCGTGGTGAAGTACAATGGAGTGGTGACCTGGACACCACCGGCCAGTTACAAGAGCTCCTGCACAATGGACGTGACCTTCTTCCCCTTCGACAGGCAGAACTGCTCCATGAAGTTTGGGTCGTGGACGTATGATGGCAATATGGTGGATTTGATTTTAGTGGATGAAAACGTAGATAGGACAGACTTCTTTGATAATGGGGAGTGGGAGATCTTAAATGCCAAAGGTATGAAAGGCAACAGGAAGGATGGGCTGTACTCTTACCCGTTTGTCACTTACTCCTTTGTGTTGAGACGCCTTCCCCTGTTCTATACTCTTTTCTTAATAATTCCTTGCCTGGGATTGTCTTTTCTAACTGTCCTGGTGTTTTACCTACCGTCAGATGAAGGCGAAAAACTTTCACTGTCTACGTCAGTTCTAGTTTCCCTCACTGTTTTCCTTTTAGTGATTGAGGAAATAATCCCTTCTTCTTCCAAAGTCATCCCCCTGATCGGTGAGTATCTGCTCTTCATCATGATTTTTGTGACCCTCTCCATCATCGTGACTGTGTTTGTCATCAACGTCCACCACCGATCCTCAGCAACTTACCATCCCATGGCTCCCTGGGTTAAAAGACTCTTTCTCCAGAAGTTACCTCGGCTGCTCTGCATGAAGGGCCACGTAGATCGCTACTCCTTCTCTGAAGCTGAAGAAAAGGGAAGCACTTTGAAATCAAAGTTTCTGGGGAAGCAGAAACACGGGCAAGCAAAAGACAGAGAAAAAATTGTCGTTGCTTTCCTGGAAAAGGCCACCGACTCCATTCGGTACATTTCCAGGCACGTTAAAAAGGAGCATTTCATCAGACAGGTAGGTGAAGGACAAGGAGAGATCACAGTATCGCTGATAGCAATAGCTTGCAAATTCTTTCCTTTTCTGCATGCTTTTCCCTTTGCCTCTCTTTCCTGCTCTCACATTTGGACATGTTCTTCCTTGGACCTTGATAAATAATATGGGTTTTGGGACAACACATTGCTTCAAGGAGAAGTGTATTGTAATGTGAGAGTCCCAGCTCTTCACAGATGCAAGAGGCCACAGCAGACTCTCCTGGAGGAAATCCTGGTTTGGGATTAATTTAATAACCTTGTCCTGCGTGAGTTTGGGATACATGTGAATCTGGAAGCCTCTGAACAGCCATTTTTAATGAAAAGGTCCCTTGAATTCATTTAATAAATAGCACTATTGTGTGTGCAGGGCTGTGCCAGGACTCGCAATTCAAAATTCCCCTCCTACATGTACTCAATCGGAGTCAACAAAACACTTAAGCAAACACAAGCCAGTCCAACCACTTGTGCTCGAAGCAATGCCTGTGTCCAAGCGCTGTGCCAGAGCTTCATCCTGGCACTTCAAGGGAAATGCAGTTCAGTGAAACGAAACCCAGTTCGATATAAAGCCATCTTCAAGCTTTGAGTCTGTAAACTTTCACATACACAGTTAGCTAAAAGCTTTCACACAGGCTGAAAAAGTCTGACTACCACGTGTGTAGAACTATGGAATTGTTTTGGAGTTCTAGGTGATTTGCAGCTGTGAGTGCTGAAAAGGTGATCTGTGTCAGTTTTAAGATACAGCACTCTACAAACTTCTAATTTTAAAAACAGATTTGGGGATCTGAAATACATGCAGCAGCATCAACAAAGTACTAGGCTTGTTATGTTTATGTTTGTCTTCCCTCTGTCCTTCCCAGGTTGTACAAGACTGGAAGTTTGTAGCTCAAGTCCTGGACCGGATTTTCCTGTGGTTATTTCTGGTGGTGTCAGTGACGGGTTCAGTTCTCATCTTTACACCTGCATTACGGATATGGTTGAACAATGCTTTGTAGAAAATCCTCCCACAGTAGCATACAACAAGTACAATGCCAAGGGACGGTGGTGCCTTTGAGTTTAGTCTGTGTTGTACAGGAGAGGAAGCAATAGCAAGAATGAGGGAAGGTGATGTTTGATTGTGAGCATTGACCAGTGCTTTCAATCTTCATATAACTCTACCAGTTACAGATTTTGCTGAAATCGGAGAAGGGGCTGGGTGCACAGCCAAGTCCTAAAGTAAACTGGAGTTGCACATTTGGGTTATAATTATTTTGTTGATAGCTTGGTTATATTACAATAAAAGATAAGATTATTAGTTAAAATTGGAAATAGTAGTTCTCGCACAGTGATCATACTTGAAAGGCAGATCTGCCAGTTAAAATGCTACTTTATAACAGAAGTTACAGTAGGAACACAAATCTGTACTCAGTTATCTATGTTTCCAAGTAAAACCCACAAAATCTCTACAGGTTACTTTATGCACATGTCAGAACTGATAATTGCATAGCATGTGCATCAGAAAAAGTACAAATACTTTTTAGAGGGGATGTTCAAAACCTTGGTTCTCTGGCCTTACCTTGCAGCAGGATCAGCTCAACAGTGGCAGAACCTGCATTCTGCCCAGCCTTCATGGCATGCACACCTCATCTCTCATCTCAGCCATCAGGTGTTACTAGGTGTTACCCACTGTTCTGTATTATTTGCAATTTTGCTTGCTGCTCAACCAGAAGGCTGAACAAGTGAGGGTTTTCCCTATGTTCCACGCTTAGAAACTATGATTCTCTCACCTGCTAGTTCACAAGACAAGTGGAAGATCACCTGAAGCATACGGCTTGGAGGAACGTGGTTCTGCTGCTCCTTAAGGCAACAGTGATGCTCCTGAACAGTTTGTTTGGGGGGGAAGCTGCGAACATTGTTTTTGGCAAATGAAACTTGTGGTTGCTGCAGGAGTGGAGTTTCTCCTGAGTGCTATGGGGTGGGCTGGTTACCAGGAGGATACATCTTTGGATGTTGGCTTGTTCATGTTTCCCAGGCAATTCAGAATTTTATTCCTTTGATTCATCTTTATGGGATCCTCCTGCATAATTAGAAACAGCTCTTAATTGTAAGTGAGATGTGACAGAAAACACACAAGTGAAACTCTTGAACACACAGGTGAAGCTCTCACCACTTTTGCTAGGGCAGTGTTTTCCAACATGGAGTGCTGTAGAAAATCCTATTCAGAACTTGCAAATGTTTTCAAGGCTAGCAAGGGGTTGGAGATCCAGTTTTTGACTAAATGTATGTAAAAGCTTTAGGTAGCCTTGAAACTGTCTCCCCAGGGATGCAGGTGAGAAAGTATTAAAAATACATAGAGGTATTCTTGTGCTTAGGTTTTGCATGAACACCAGACCTCTGTAAACTAATATAATCCTATCTCATTGTGTCAATGCAGAAAATTCTGTTTACTTGTGCGGTTATTATTAATAAAGATGTATTTAGTAAATGATTCCTGGGGTGAGAGTGGTTATACACCGGGCTTTGTTGTTGATTTATTGTCAGCAAGGCTAGATTGCAGTCCATTTAAAAAGCCTGATCTCAAATCTATTCAAACAGAGGTGTCACATTCTTGGAAAGTCCTCATAATATTTTAGCTCTGTATGTGAGTTTGAGCAAGGAGCAATCAGATCTGGTCATTGTATTGAAGGAACCTAGAACAAACCCATTTAGTTTAGCATATATAGATAGATGTCTTAACATAAGACACTGGTATAAAATTTATGCACATTGACCTTTCTACCAGCTGCTCCTCTTTTCTTGTATAAGTTGCATTTGTTCCCCTGGCCAGTACTGTGAAATATCCAAAGCAAAACAGCCAGGAAGCTCTTCTTTCCAGTATTTACAGGCTCTTGAATTCAAGTAGTGATAGGTATTCCCTCTGAGCACTGCTGCCAGGAGGCTGTTAGCTGGGATAGATGACAACCTCCTCTCCCAGGCAAGTGCTTCAGGTGTTTATCCGACAGATGTGTCTGATTCCAGGCTGCTTTGCCTGGCTTATGCTGGTAAAGGTCAGTATGTTCAAGTGATTGGAGTGGGAGGTGTGTGAACATTGCACATGTGTGGCTTCTGGACTCCAGTCTTCTTAGACTGAAGTCTGGACTCCAGTCTTCTTAGCATTGCATCTGGGCCTGCTACCTCTGTAGTCTCACTATTCACTCCCTGAGCTTCTTTAAATCCCTTTGCTGTTGGCCCACAAAAACATTCAGTGTGTTCCACACGACGAAAACACAACTAGGAGGACCTTTGGGCAGACAGTCCTCCGTCCACGTGCTCTGCCAGCAGATGGCAACATTGCAGATTACAAATCCTAACAAAAAGAACCAGCCACCCTCTGCCTTACTGCTCTCTCAACATATGCGTCCTCCATTTCTGGGCACTGGCTCATCTGTCAGCGTCTGGGATGGCACTAGCTCTAGTTGTAGCTTTTCTTGTTATTTCAGTTAGAAAGTCCTGCAACAAGAGCTGGGGCAAGCAGAAATGTCCTTTTTGTGTGGGTTCTTCCATGTTTGCTGATGCAGCTTTCTCCAAGGTGACATGCTTATCATGTCCCCCACTCCCACCCTCTTTAATCAGCCAAATACTTTCACAAAGCTGACAGGAGTACATTAGGCTCCCAGTCCTGAATGTGCCAAACACAGCTGAAAATGGCAGAAGATATAAGGGGAAATAGTACACTCAGAAAGAGACAGAACATTGCTTAAGATACCAGGCTGATGAGCACAGAGTAGTTCTGTAAGTGACAAAGTGAGGGAGCTGATGTTGAGGCATAAAGGCTTCCTAACTGGAGATGAGGAGCTGTACAACTGGGAATACTTTGACAAAAAATCAGGGATTTTGCTGAAGTCAGATTATTGACTATAGGGTAGTAGCTGTCATGCTCAAGACACCTGTGCAATACACCTTCCACCACAATATTCTCGTTGTTTGGATGGTCATAGAGTGCAACAGTGAATGCTGGCAGTCAGATGTCTTCTTCCAGAAAATGTCTTTTTGTAGAAATGAGGCTTTCAGGCTCAGATTGCAGCTCTCCTCTTCAAATATCCTTTCTTTTCCCTCACCTCCTTTCTGATTAAAGAGTCTGCATAGTAAATGTCATCTAGTAGCATCTATAAATGTGTTTATAGATGAGAGTCTAAAAAGGACAGAGAGTTTAAATAAACAAACACACAAATTCTTCAAGAAGGTATGTCTCAGGAGTGATATTTAATTGACAGGCTGACAAAATAAGCCATGCTTGTTCACATATCTGTTTGTCAGTCACTACATAATTATGCAACATTCAGGAAGATTACAGAAAATATAGTTTTCTTCTAGACAGTCATGACTGGCTGGATTAAGACAGTTATATTCTTGTCATTCCACCTTCATCTCTAAGATATACATTTATTCAATTCTATTCTCTTTATTATGGAACATCACAAAAGAGTGAAAGGACAGTGACTTCAGAAACAGCAATTCGTACTTTCCATGGATTGATGATGTTCAAAGCAGAGACTGATACATGGCAGACACAGAAAACACTGCACTGACACTGTACAGTTAAAGTTAGGTGCTCTTAAAAGAAAGAAGAGGTTTGTATTTTTGAAGCTACTGGGTTTAATTGGAGTGCTGCCTTTTAAAGAAGAATCCTAGGGCACAAACCCAGTAGGAATATAAATGGACAAGGGACCTAAGGGTAAACCATCCATGTATTATAGAAACCACATCAGGGTCACATCTGCAAAGTGTTTCAGGATTAAGCACACTAGGACTGGGAACCTGGTTATGTAGCAGCAACCTTAGCCCCAAAGGATGTGTCCCTGCAGTTACAGGTTTGCACACACAGCACTGACCCATGAGGAACCAGCAAACAGAACACTGCTGCACAGCTGTTCAAGCCAAGGTGCTCAGCTTTACACAGGATTCATGATATCCAGCCTTTTCCTCCTGAGATGTGTATAATCTAAGTTGGCCTGCAGCTTTAAAAACAGGAAAACTCAGATCAGTATGATTCTGTCAAGCCAATTCTGTCTGTGATCAGTACCCACTCAGGAATGAACCCTTCCATACTGGGCTTATGTCTGAGCCCAAGCAAGCAAGAGTTTTCAGAGAGGAAACTCTTGTGGAACTGGGATCATTGTTAATCTGACAAGAGAGATGTGGCTTGGAAATCCTACTGAAGTTCGTCAAGGTCTTGGTATTCAATATCAGGAAGCAGAGGGGACTTTTGGTCACATGCAAAGCTAAGTGGCAGATAAACTAGTTTTTCAAGATTTTAGAATCATGTAGTTTTCAAACGTGTATGCCTCACATTGTTAGCACATTCAAATATTAAGTCAGTTTGTCTTCAAATATGATTAAGTGTTTAAGACCTGTCTGATTTCAAACACAAATATAAACGTGCTTTATTGATCTGGGACCCTCTGTGGTTGGGTGCTGAGGAGGTGATGAGCAGGTGGGTTATGTAAGAGGAGAGATATATAAGGTAAATTTACAAACCAAAAATGAAACAAACCCCAAAGTGGGTAAAAAGCAGCGGATCAAGTTATTTATCTGCTATTAGTGGCTGGATAAAGAGTCCTGCAGTCCCAAACACACAAATGATTATAAATACCCACAGAAATACTCTGTCTATCACCATAGCTACGTATTTCCAGTCATCTTCCACCTGCAAGAGAATAAAGAAAGAAAAGGATAAACTACGTGTGGTGTTACACTGAATTGCTAGTTGACAGCACGCAGTAGAAATGTCCCTTCTGCTTTTGAACACGAGGAAGAACATACGTGCAAGTCAGGAATGTTGCTTGTCATGCTTACAACTGCTGCAGTTTTCAAGTCTCTTCCGAAGGGGCTGATTTTCTAAACGTGTTTTGCCGCTTTTGGCTGAGAACGTACAACACTGTCCTAGTCTGCTGAATTCTTCTAAATGTTCAAGTCTGTTGGCAAACTCCGCCTATGATGCTGACACTAACAAATAGGACCTGGCCCTGTGGTGGGTGCAGAGTGGGGTGATGTAACAGCAGGCACAACCACCATAGCTGCACATCACTAGACTCTGTCAAGGGATTTATCCCGACAGCCTGCACAAAAGAGTTTACTATTCTGGTCAGATTTGATGTGCTGTCTCTCCAGTCAGGCTCTGCTGATTTCAGAAAAGTGGACAAATGGACACATGGACTGTAGCAAGTCTGACAGAGCAAACTGCAGTGTCTTGTTCTAAGCAGGACAGAGTGGACTGTGTTTGCCTGAGAGATAGACCTTAGAACCATGTTCAGTGAATTTGCTGTCCTTTAAACTGTACCTTTTAACTCGTACTACATACAAGAACCACGGTATCAGATGAACATTCACTCATATAAACAAGTGACTGGTTAAGAGCTCTCTGCTGAGGGATCTTTCACTTGCTTTCCCAATTTCGTTATATTTTCCTCCAAGGTGCTGCTGCTGTACTTCACATGAAAAAAATAGAGGAAGAACTCCAGCTGCTGTAAATGTTGACACAATTTTTAAAGGACTTTTATGTATGCAGGACAAGTGCATGATACCACCCATACTGCTTTGTATGTCTGGCTGAAGCAGAAACAGCCTCCAGAAAAATTTTCTCAGTCCTTCCCTGAGAAAAAAAATCCCTTTTTTTTTCCCCCCAGAGGAGGGTTTTGGTAAATGAAAAATCCTGCTTCCCATCCCTTGTGTGTTTTTAAAGGCAAGATACAGAGCTGTTGATGCACCCACTAGACTAAGAATAGAATTTCATGTAGCAGGAGAAATTCACAAAAGCAAATAACAAGACTGGCAAAGGAAGACTTTTCATGAGCTGAATAATGAAGACAGTATGTTATTCAGTGCATCAGAGAAATCAGCTGAATACAGTACATGGGCATGTTTTATGCACCTGATGGGAAAGTGCAAGCAGGGCTGAAATGTTTGGGTTAAGCAGAACAGTCAGGGCGTAGGTACTAAGCAAGGCTCAGCTCAGTTCCCATCCTCTTCTATGTTAGTAGATCCCTTTCTTTTGCATTGGTCTGGCATGTACTACCTACTCATCCTATGAATTCAGCCACCACACTGTAGCCCTTTATTCACAAAGTTACAGACTTTGTTTTTGGATGAAAATTCTTCAGGGCATAAAAAAAAAAAAAAGAAGGGGAAAAAGTAATCTTTGGGTTTCACAGAAGTTTCATGAATTTCAACAAAATGTTCTGATAGAAAGTATACATCTCAGCGTTTCCCTTACAAAGCTTTTGTGGTTTTCAGCACAAATGCAGCAGTATTTAGTTTTGAAATTGGTTTTGCCATCAAAGAGCATGTAAAAAATTTCAAAGGCAAAAATTTCATGACAGATCAAATACGTATGTTTCATTAGGTTCTAAACTTTTTAAAAATACCTTGAAGTGTCAGAACATTCCTGAG